AGTTCAGAATATCATGTTGCTTATAACAACGCCAGTGGTGTCTGAGCTGCTGGACCCCATGCCCACGGCAGCCGCGTGCACCCTGGTCGTCATGAAGGCACCAGCTTCCACCCAGGGCCCAGTGCGTCTACAGGAGTGAAGTCTGTACGTGTACACACCGAAACATATCCTGAGTTATTACCGATTGTTGTCACTGTATTTCTCCTTTTTATTGCTTTGTTACATCCTATGGATTCTCAGGGAAACAAACGTGCAGGGAGGTGTTACAGACAGACCTGAGGTTCATTTCATGGTGGAGGGTTACAAAATACTGGGTCTAAATGAGGAGTGCTTAATCCAACAGAACTGCAAGCCGTTGTCTTAAACCGAAGTCGGAATCACCTGGAAACTATGACTGCGGGGGGCCCACCCCCAGAGTCTGTGACACAGCAGCTCTGGCGTGGAGCCCAAGAGTGTGCATTTATAACAAGTCCCCAGACATCTGGGCACCACACTGTTCATCATCAGCTTCAGCCAATTTGATAATCCCATCTCCCTTGCTATGAATAGATTTTTGCCATTTGGGGCCATTGAGGTCTGGGGGGAAAGAGAACTAAGGAAGAAATGGTCTTCTTTTCTTCCAATGCACATGGTTGGATCCATGTGTGATTCCTGATGCAGTGGCTGCCATTATGTGACCATGAGGGCAGCTAAGCCAGCATACTGAAGATGGCAGCACAAAAGGATGGAAAGACCTTAGGTCTTCAGGGATGTTGTCAAGCCACTGAATTAAGTCATCCTGGAGACACCCCACCCCTTGTCTTTGAGGAATAAGCTGTGTTTCAGCCAAAAACATCTCTATTCAGTTAACCTCCCACAGTTCCCTTGCATATCACCAGCGTATGAAAACCACACTTCAGGAAAAACTTGAGTGATACGGAGTCCTTGTTGTTTCACTACATGTGTCCAGGCTTGAGCTCTGATCCCTCCCCAGCCAGTCAGTCCACCTGGCCAGGGTCAATGTCTTTCTGTGTCTCACAGCACCACGAGCAGAGCTGGGCACACCGTTTTAAAACCTTCATTCATGGAGAGCTTATGACAGGGCAAGAAGGAGGGCACCTCACAAAAGAGAAAGGTCTCAAGGCACCTGGGTGGCTCCATGGTGATGCATCTGCCTTTGCCTCAGGTCATGATCTCAGGGTCTTGGGATTGAGCCCTACATCGGGCTCCCTGCTCAGTGGGCAGCCTGCTTCTCCCTCTCCCTCTCCCTCTGCCCCTGCTAGTGCGCTCTCTCTCTCTCTCTTGCTCACTCTATTTTTTTAATTTAAAAAGCAGAAAGTTCTTATCAGTGGAGTTTTTATGAAAGCAAAAGCCCAATGCATCAAAATGGTATGAGTGGGATGAAGACAGGATTGGTGGGCCACAGAGCTTGATGCAAATTCTGGCTTGCCCACAGTGCGGGTTCACTTGCTTAACAGCGGAAGTTTGCTCAGACATCCGCCCTTCAGAAACACCAGAAGATCAGGGACAACTAGAACTGAGCTGTCCAGTAAGGCAAACACGTGCCTCGTGCAACCACCTAAATTTTACTTAAAATTAAGTAAAACTAAAATTTCATTCGTTTGTCACACTAGCCACATTTCAAGGGCTCAGTGGCCAGGTGGGGCTACCATACCGGACAGCAGAGATCTGGAACATTCCATCGCCTCAGGGAGGTCTTTGGGCGGCGATGCTCTAGGTCCGCCCCCCTCAGCTAGTTTAGGCAAAGTTCATGGGACACAAGTCTGGCCAAAGAGACATGAGGGGAATCTGGCTGGGCATTTCTGAGAAAGGTTCCCTCACTCATGAAAGGACCAGATGGGAAAAAGGCTCTTTTCTGTCGGGTGATGGGACAGCCAGAGGAAGACCTGGTCTGAGAGGGAAGTCACATCAAGGGTGGCATCCTCGCCTCCGGGGGCGGCTGTCACCCCCCAGACAGGGCAGTTTAGAACAACAGATGTGAATTCTCTCACAGTCTGGAGACCAGAGGCCTGAGATCCAGGTGCTCAGGGCTGGCCCCCCCACCCAGCGCTGAAGGAGGGTCCCTCGTGCATCGGGTGGAGCCCACCGGTGGCCCCTGGTGGCCCCAGACCGCATCCTAGTCGCTCTGTTCTCTGCCCCCTCTTCACACAGACCCTTCTGCAGGTGTCCTCACACAGTTTACCGGGAACCCTAATTACACCGGCAAAGACCGTTTCCAAACAAGATCACGTTCTGGCGTTCCAGGTGGATGTGGATATCGAGGGCACGTTCACCCCAACACAGAGTGACAGAGCCGGACCCACAGGAGGTCAGTGAGCCGCTGACTTGAGCGGCCACAGAGGGGCCCTTCTCCCGTGAGACGACGACGTCCTTCACCTCAAAGCTCTGAGTGTGGTTTGGGGCGCAGCGGCCACCATGTCCCTTAGCAGGAGAGGGTCCCACGGGATCCTCCACGTTGCCGTGCCTTGGTGTCCTCATCTATGTAACGGGCGGGCACCCTCAGGGCCGTGACGATGACTCAGGCCGGTCCATGCCTGGCACCCTACTGGGCGCCCAGAACTCAGATGCCGCGTTCCCCTCTCTGCCTACCGGGACTCCACCTTCTCCTCTCAAACAGGGATCTTTCCAGAGGTCCGTGAGGCTTCCAGGCAAACACAGCAGAGACAGAGGCTGGTTCAGACCCCACGGGGCCTGGGTCACGGCCCTTCATCCATCAGAGACGCCTGTGGGCTCCTTCTCCACAGAAGGGTCCCCACTTCTCTCCGCCCCCATGTGTCCCTGATCCAGGTCGTCTCTCATCCCCTTCTGGCCCTCACCCCCACCCCATTTCCACAGAGCTCCCAGAAAGACCCTTCAAAACCCCGAACTCCACCCTCTGAGCCCTGCTTAAAACCATCCACACCAAGCTTGCCTACAAACCTCTCATTCCTCTGCTGCTTCTCTCCGTAAGCTCCACACACATGGGTCCCCTGCTGTTACCCAAACATGCCAAGTGCATTCTCTGCCACTGGGCCTTGGCACTTGCTGTGCCCCTGCCTGGAACTCTCCCTCCCCAGTTGTTTCATGTCTGGGGCCTCATGGCTTCAGGTCTCCATTGAAATGTCATCTCCTGCAAGATCCCTTTCCCCACGACCCCCTCTGAAGTAAACACCCAGTCTTACCCTGACATCATTTTATTTTAATTAGCACCTGTCAGTATCTGCCATTTACTTGTTCTCTTTATTTACTATTTACTATTTAGTGTCTCCCTGTGGAATCGAAGCCTGTAAGCACGGGGACCAGATCCTCCTTTCCCACCAGGTCGTCAGTGCCTGGCAGGACGGGCATGCACTGGTATTTGCTGCGTTGACAAAAACGTCACGATCATGGCAATAACCTAACAGCGTGTGCCCCACAGCCCAAGCATCCGAATCCGGAACACTCTACCCCCCCACCGCCCACAGCCAAGGGGCGGATGCAGCTTCTCCGGGGCTGGGAAGTCCACCATGCACGCGACACCCTTGCTACAAAGCAAATCCTGAACCCAGTCACGCCCGCAGACCCATTGCCAGGATTCAGGCAAAGAAGGAGCAAAGAACCAAGTCGAAGACCCATGAGAAAAGGGACAGACCCAGACTGTGGGGCCCCAGCCAGTCCACGGTGGGCCTGAGGCTCCACACATCCCATAGGGTCCCGGGTGATACGATGCTCAGACCCGAGCCAGGCACGGAGGGAGGGAGGGTCTGTGACATTCAGGAAGTCCACACTCTCAGGGACACAGTACTTTCCTGGGGCTGTCAAAACCAAGCACCACGAGCCCGGCCACTTAAGCCACAGAAATGTCTACTCTCCCAGCTCTGCACATCCAGAAGTCTGAAATCAGGGTGTACGCAGGGCCACGCGCCCTCTGGAGGCTCCAGGAGAGGGTCCTTCCTGCCTCCTCCAGCTCCTGGGGGTGGGGAAGAGCAACCCTTGGGGTCCCCAAGCCTGTGGGAGCATCTCTGCCACATCTGCCTTCGTCCTCATGCGACTCCTCCCTATGGGTCTGTGTCATTTCCCTTTTAGGACAACACCAGCCTACTCCGGGACGACCTCATTTTAACTTGATTCTATCTACAAAGACCCTGTTTCTAAGAAAACTGCATTCACAGGTGCCCGTGGACATGAATTTAGCAGGGGACACTACTCCACCCAGCCCTCGGAGAGGAGGGACAGGAGGTGTTGGGGACAGCTGTAAAGGGAACAGACAGAACCAAATGTAAACGCATTAACTTGCAGGGTCCTTGTCCCAAAAAGCCACCTGAGGGGGTATGACTCCTGCCCGATGTTTGAGGACATTCTGGAATCTGATGGTGTCTCAGACGGAACAATGGGTAAGAGCACGGCTTTCTCCGGAGGGAGACCGTGTGAAGCACTGAACGGCGAGCGTCCTCAGGGTTAGCTCACGCTACCGGCTCAGGGCCAGACATCTGAGGAGAGGCGGTAAAATGTTTACAGTCGTAGGTAAAGGAAGGCCCCTCGCTTTACACCCCACCCTGAGTCCCGCAGTCTCCCCCGCCCCCCAATCCTGCGGTCCGGCTGGGCGTGGCCCCTTTCCAGACACCCCTTCCCCGCGCCCCCAACCTCGGCCAGGGCCTCCGCAGGTTCCGACTCGGCGAAGACGCTTTTAAGGCGGGTCCGGGGCGGGGTGGGGGGGGGGGTAGGACGAGCCCACCCGCGTCCTCCCCCCACCGCGCCCCCCTGCAACACCGACGGAGCCGGAGAATGTTTCACCTGCGCATGCGTGCCCCCCACCCACCTGCCGCCCTCTCCCCGCCCCTCCCCGCGTGACGCGGTGGGAACCCTGACCCCAGCGCCGCGCAGGCTGGAGATGGGGGTCCAGGCTGGTGGGGAGAGGAGTAAGGATGGAGAAGAGAGACCGGGCTCTCTGGGTGTGGGCGGCGAAGAGAAGGGCGGAGGGAAGCCCCAACCTGGGAGTCCGGGGAAGATATGGTCCCAAGGACCCCGGGCGGCGCACTTACCCGCACGATGTAGGAGACCCCGGGCCCCAGGACCCTGGCGTCTGGGTGTAGCCAGCCGTGCGCCGGCTTGTGGATGAAGCTGCCTTTGCGGATCCACTCGTCGGCGGCTGCGTCCGGGGGCCCGGCCACCCCCCGCGCGCCCCGCGGGCCCCGGGCCCCGGCGGCCCGGCAGCGGCTGAGCGCGGGCAGCGGGCAAGGCGCGGCGCAATGCGGTTCGCAGGCGCCCAGGACCGCCGCCGCCAGCGCTGGGACGCCAGCCGGGGCGGCCGGCTCGGGCTGGGAGTCGGCGGCCCCCGCGCCCCCGGCCGTGCGCGCTGCAGCCGGGCTCCGGCCCAGGAAGCCCGCGGGAGCGGCGAACTTCCACTGCGGCATGCGCGGCAGCAGCGCGCAGAAGGTGGTGGGCGCCTCGGGCTCGGGGGGTGCAGGGGGTGCGGGGGGCGTGCGCCCGCCCGGACCCTGCGTCATGGCCGCGGTCGCCCGACCGAGCCCGACCGGGCGCTGCGCCTGGCGCGGAGGAGGCCCTCTCCTCCGTCCCGCTCCCTCCCCTCCGCCCCGCTCCCTCCCCGCCCCCGGCCCGGTGATGTCATCCGCCCGGCCCAGCGCGCAGCCGCGGGGGGTTGCGCCCCTGGGACCCGGGCCCTGGGCGTCCCGGCGCCTGCGGGAGGCTGGGGAAACTGAGGCCCGCCGGAGGCCCGGACGCTGCCTCGGGTCCAGCAGTCGGGAAGGGAGACGACGTTTCCAACCCTAGACCGGGTCCGCGACCCCAGCTTCGCCCCACCCACCGGTGCCCAAATTCCTAGAAGGACGGAGGCGGGAGTCGCAGAAATCACCTGCCTCCTCCCGCTTCTGACTGACGGGAAAGCTGGCGCCTGGAAAGGGGTGGGGACGCGAACAGCGAAGGAGAGAGCTCCAAACCCTAAGGTCGGGCCCCTCCCTTCCCACTGTTCCAGCTGGAAGATACTTGAAAATTACCGCCTCGCTGCGTTTCCTAATGAGGAAACTGAGACCCAGAGAGGGGCACGCGACAAAGACTGGTGCCCAGGAGTGTGGGTTGGGCTGGCGAGGTCTGGGAGGGAGGAGCGAAGCCCAGTCTCTCTTCTGCTTTTTCCCTGGGCTTTGGTTTCCCAGCCTGGAAGCTCGGGGCGCGAGCAGGAGGGTCACAGGCTCCTCCTCCATTTCTGTCCGGCTTCGACCCAACTGAACTCATTGGGCCTCGGCCTTCCAGGCCGGCCCGCCCCTCCGTCCCCAGCCTCTTTGTCCCCCATCCAGACCTCAAAGTCTGATTCCTTCTGCACCAAGGTTTCGACAGGCCAAGGTCACCCCAGGACCCAGCCTCCTTCCCCTCCCCCTCACGGGGGTGGGGCTGACTGCCGGGAAACAAAGGGAGGGGGGGCCGGGGCGCGCTGGCAGGTGGGGAAGGAGGGGTGAGGCTGCCTGGAGCCGGATCGATAAGTGAGAGAAATGAGATCACAGCCTGGCGGTAGCCCGCGAAGCCTGTGCGGGAGGCGGCGAAGCGGGGAGGGACTCGCAGCGGATTGGCCTGCGTTGGGGTGGGGCTGGGGTCGGTGCTGCCGCGGGAGCCTGCGTGTGTCACGCCGCTGGGATGGCTCCCATTCCTCTGCGTGGTCGCGATGAGAGGGTGTACGGCGGGCGAGTCCCTGGGGTCTGCCGGGAGGGCGAGGGGCGGGGTGATGTCAGGGCCTGGAGCCCCCATCTGGGTTTGTGTGTTATGTGTCTCTACACATATGCAGACCGTGTGAGAGTTGACCTGTTGGTCTGTTGTGTGCAGAATGAACATGTGTATGCATGTGAGGGGGGCATCCAGGTTCCCCTGGGGGTGGGCGTGTGTGTAGGGGCCCTGGTGTGTGTCCACCTCCTTAGATAAAGGGGTGTGTGTTCCAAGTTTGGCATTTCCAGGCTGGGGAAAAGGGACAGAGTCAGGGCCATGCATCTTAGGACCCCTCTGGGTCATGCCTGAGGTGCCACCCCTGGGCCACGTCCTCCTGGTGGCAGTCTGTCCCTCCCAAGCGCCTGGGTCTGGGTTTTTCTGGGTTAGGGGTTTATAAGACCAGGGATTATCACACAGGAGGCTTGGTCACATGACACCATCCGTTTCCTTCCTATTCCTAGGAAAGAATGGCAGGAACAGAGCCCAAAGACCAAGATTCCGATCCTGGCATCAGAGGGACATGAGGGCTCACTGTGTGCCCTCAGGCAAGGGTCCAATCTCTCCAAAGCCCCATTTTCTCTCAGTAAATATTAGTTGCCTCCTGAGTTGCTGTGACGCTTAGGTAATCTTTAACAATATCTGAAAAACGGTAGGTACCTACTGATAGATGGAAAGTAGAATACGTTAAACTCTTATACATCCTTCAAAGCCCAGTTTCAATGTCCCCTCTTCCAAGAAGCTTACCTGGCTTCCCCCATTCGCAGCCCTGGCTCTACCTCTCTCCTTACCCAGCCCTGGGTCCCTCTGGTCCCATCCAGTCCCCGAGGGTCTGCAGAATTGGGGGGGTCTGGATCCGAAGAGCAGCATTGAAGTCTCCTTTCTTTGACGTGGACAGTGGGTTAAATGAGCTCACGTGTGTGATGCTGGCAGCTCTCGTGCCGCAGACAGATTTATTGGCAGGCAGCTAGAGGGGGGAGTCAGGCTGCTTCCTGCCTGATTTGGGGGCTGGAACCAGCGCAGGCAGCTGTGCTGCTGTGAGAAGTAGGGGAGAGCCCAAGTTTAGCCGAAACCTGAGCTGTGTCGGGGACCCAGGCCCTAGCAGGGCGGACGCTGAGTTCTAGGACACGGGAAGCTCATCTCCAGCCAGCCTCTCGGGAGGGCTGGGTTGTCCCTTTCTCTGCCTGGCCTGACTCAGCCTGGCATGACCAGGAGGAAGAAACTGGGGCACTGGAAGGAAGCTCACCCTGCACAGGGCCATAGGGTCACAGCCTCCAGAGACCAAAGGAAGCAGGTGGCCTCGAAGGACCTCAAAGTTCAGAAAAAAGGGAGGAAAGAGGCGCCTGCTTGCCCCTTCTCCAAGCCCCTCACCGGCCAAAGCCAGGCCCAGGAGAGGCTTCCCACACCCCCACTTGACAAGGCAGGTAAACTGAGGCTTGGTTCAGGGGCAGCTAGGAGCCCTGACCCCAAGGTGTCAGGGCGTGGTGTCCGTAGCCATGGTGGCCGCCTGTCTGGAGTGGCGGATGCCCATGGTGAATGCTGGGGCTCTGGCTTTGGTCATGGTGACCTGCTCAGGTCTGTGGGTTCCAGGCCCAGGGGTCTCTTCCGGGGGACGGGGGGCACGAGGCCGGCCCAGCATGGTGAAGGCGGGCCGGCGCTGACGGTAGGTGTTGGGGTCTGGGCTGTCATACTGGCCGGGGCCCGGGATCTCAGCAGGGTCCTGAGGGGGGCGGATGGGGGGAGTGCGGCCTGCCACTGTGTAGCTGGGGCTGCGGGGCTTAGTGAATATCTGGGAGCCCCAGAGGGAGGGCAGGGTGTAGGTGTTGGGGGCAGGAGCTGAGGTGTCCTGGAGCTGTGGGCGCAGGCGGGAGCCCAGAGTGAAAGCCGGGGGGGTCCGCTGACGCACAGGGGCCACCTTCTCTGGGCTGTAGGCCCCGGGGCCTGGTGTCACCTCCAGACCTGTGAGAAGGAGGTGGGAGGGTTGGCAGCGTCCTCGCCTGCTCAAAGACCTTGCATGGCTGCCCGTTGCCTCTGTGCTCCCTGTGCTTCACAGCACCTCTCGGGCAGCCCCGGGGTGTCTCTCCTGCTTCCCAGACCTCCCCGTAGAGCAGTCTGTTCCCTCTTTCTTTGTGGTTTCAAAGAGAGTGGGGAAGGGGAAGAGGGAGAGAGAGAGAATCTTAAGCTGGCCCCATGCCCAGGGTGTGAGCCCAGCATAGGGCTCAATCTCATGACCCTGAGATCATGACCTGAGCCAAAATCAAGTGTTGGACACTTAACTGACTGAACCACCCAGGCACCCCTAGTCTGTTCTCTTTAAGCCTCTGGGCCTTTGCCCACACTCAACTCTGCCAGGCATACCTTCCATTTTCCCATTCCCACCTCCCAGGAGCTGCTTCTCATCCTTCCAAACAGTCCCAAAGCCCCCTTGTTCCTGCTGCCTTTCCCACCCCTTCCTCCTAGGCAGAGCCCTCACAGGAGGGATGGAGAGATGGATGGATGGATCATGGAAGGATGGATGGATGGATGGGTGGATGGGTGGGTGGATGGATGGATGGGTGGATGGATGGATGGATGGGTGGATGGGTGGATGGGTGGGTGGGTGGATGGGTGGATGGGTGGGTGGGTGGATGGATGGAGGGATGGATGGATGGGTGGATGGGTGGGTGGATGGGTGGGTGGGTGGATGGATGGATGGATGGATGGATGGATGGATGGGTGGATGGGTGGGTGGGTGGGTGGGTGGGTGGATGGATGGAGGGATGGATGGATGGGTGGACGGGTGGGTGGATGGACGGATGGGTGGATGGATGGGTGGGTGGATGGATGGATGGATGGATGGATGGATGGGTGGGTGGGTGGATGCATGCATGCATGGGTAGATGATTGGGTAGCTGGATAAATGGGTTGACGGGTTGTGGGTGGAGGGACGCAAGGGTAATGTAGATGGATGGATAAATGGATGGACGGACAGATCGATGGAGCAGTGGGGTCAGACGGGTGAATGGACGGATGGAAGAACGGGCGTATCGGTGAGTGGATGGGCAAGCGAGTGATAGGGCAGAAGATGAAAAGGGGGTGGATGGGAGATGCCAAGGATGAGCCCCAGCTGCCCTCACAGCACCACCTGTGCTCAGTGTCACGTTCATGTTCTCTCAGGCCCCCAGCCCCTCCTCGGAGCTCCCTTATTTTGACATCCAAAGACACTGAAGTCCCAGGGCCTGGGTGATGGGAGGGCAAGGAGAGGACAGAGGCAGGACCTGAAAGGGCAGGGCCCCTGTAGGGCAGCCCTGATCAGGTACTTACCCCGAGACTTGCCTCGGCCCTGCATGGAGTAGGCAGGGGTGCAGCTTCGGCCAAACCGGGTGACTTTTGGGTCCAGGAAGTAGACAGGCCCAGGGCTGGTGTCCTGTGGAGATGCTGGGGGCAGGGGGGAGCCCAGGGTCCTGAGGGCACCTCTGAGGGCCCCCTCGACCCCGCTCAGTGCCCCTGCTCCACCCCAGGGCACCCACCCTCCAGACAGCCCGCAGCCCCAGCTTGGACCACTGAGGTCTGGTTGCCCCGACTTTGTCCTGATGAGCCTTGCTGTGTCCTCGTGATCACAGCTGTCCCACCCTCAACCTGTCCTCGGCCGCAGACCAGGGAACCCGCTGACGGTTGGTTGGACTTGCCCGTGCAGTAGACTAACTAGACCCTGAGGAAGGCCCCCGGCATGCTTGGGCTTGCCCCCATGTGGGACCGTGTGGGCCTCAGCATGGCCCCTGTGAGGTGTGTCTCTGCCTCAGTCTCCTCGGTGGCAGGGTGAGAAGATGGAATGGGGGGAGGGTCCATGGAGGGCGGTCCCACGCGGGGCATCTCACGGCCGAGACCCCTCACTGACACTGATGTCACTGCCACTGCTGAGCCATAAATGCATGTGCCTCTGCATGTCATCAGTGTGACACGGACTCACTGGGTGGCCCAACACACGAGCTGACCCACTGGGTGGCCCACACATGAGCTGACCCACCACATGCCCCAGCTCCAGGCCTGTGCGTCTGCTGCCAGCTCTACCATGTCCGTCTCCCGGGGGCCCGACTGGACTCCCCCTCCACAGCCCAGACCACATGCCTCCACCTCCAAGAAGTCTTCCCGGGGAATCAGCTAAGTCTACACTGGCTCCCACCGTCCCCCGCCTTCCCAGCCAGTCTGTCCCTCTGTCCCGGGCTGTGTCCCAGGGGAACCCAGGTTGCTCTGGGCAGAGGGAGGTTCTGAGCCCTCCCCAGTGGAAGACAACAGGTCACTTCCCTCATTTGCCTTCTGGGAACCCTTGGAGCTTCTGGAGTTTTGTTTCGGTTCAGGTCGGGATTTCTGCTGATTCTGAAGGCTGAGAAGCTGCTGCTGCCTGGCAAATTCACCCCAAACTGTCATCCCTGGAATCAGAGTCCTTGTGCAGACCCTCCCCAACCCAGGTGCACTGGGGACCTCAGCTTTGGAAAATGGGGCGATGGAGTCTGTGAGCACTCCTATTAGGAATGTGACAGCCACACCACGAATAGCGACAGGCAGCGAGCTGGGGCCCCGGCCACCCACGTGAGCAGCACTGAGGGCGCTGACCCCGCCTGTACCCTGACACAGCAGTCCCCGCCAGGGGAAAGGCAGGTGACGCAGAAGAGAGGACCCCGCCGACTGGGCCAGCCCCGCCGCCCACTGCCTGTCCACACAGCAGAGATGGGCACTGTGCCCTCTCCGCAGCTGTCTGCGAGGAGCCCCGTCTTGATGATGGGGAAACTGAGGCTAGGACCCCCGTGAAGCCCACTTCCACCGTGCCCTGCCTGGACACCCAGCGCTGACCCTGGCTCGCTGACGTGGGCGGGCACCTGTTGGCTTCATGCTGAGGATAGCTCTGGAAGGGGTACACTGTCACTGTTTGCAGGGGAGGACGCTGGGGCGCCGAGCTGCTGGGCGACACATCCACAGTCGGGCATCAGGGAAGCCGCGAGGCCAGAAGGCAGGCTCAGGCACTCTGCAGCACACTGCGTCCGGCCTTCCCTTCTCACCCGAGGACACAGAGGACACCTTCCCCGGGGTCACCGTGCAAGCCAGGCGGGGCTGCGGGGTCAGCAGGAGACGGGGGCTCAGAGGGGCCCTCCCCCACCTACCCCAAGCTTACCGGGGCTGGGCCTCCAGAAGAGGGAGTAGGCCGGGCTGAGCGCCCTGGTGCAGTCGTGGTTGATGTAGCCCACAGTGGGCGGCAGGATGTACAAGCCTGGCCCCGAGCCTGCGACCAAAGTCCTGCGGTCACCGCCTGCAGCTCCAGACACTGGCACGTGGGCAGGAACCCATGGCCCAGCCACCGAGCCCCTGCCTGGGCTGCCCGCCACCCTCCATGGCAGGGGTAGGGGGTGGGAGCTGCCCGCCCCCCCATGGGGGGGGCAGTGAGTGAGGGGCATTGTGAGTCAAACCTGAGTCAAAGGTGGGAGGGGCCACAAGGCCAGCAGCGTCCTCCTGCTTGACGGCACATTGGGACAACCGAGGCCCAACAGAGACGCGCCGTCACAGGTGGGGAAACCGAGGCCCAGACACAGAGACGTACCGTCACAACTGCAGTGGTTGGTGGCCTCAGCAGGAAGGTCAGGGCCCCAGAGCCTCCCCCCTGCTGTTCCGTTGCACACAGAAGCGTGAGGCCAGAGCCGGGCCCCACCAAGTGCACAGTGAGCATCAGGGTGGGAAGGCACGGGCCCCAGCAGAACGTCCTGACCTCCGAGCCCCGCTCTCATCCATTCTGTCCTTGCTGCTTCATGGTCGACTAACCCACTACAGACTTCTTGTCTGTCTGCCCCACGGACCTCTGCCGCCTGTCGCTGTGGCAGCATCAGCCCCGCCAAGGTGCCTGCCCGCCACACGCCGTTCGTGTAGGACGGAAGCACACCCGAGAGCCACACTCACACCCTCCCTACTATGAGGGAGACACGTCTGGGGAAGGGCAGGGACTTGTCAGAGCCTCCCACCTCCAGCTGGGCTCCCAGAACATCCCAGAAACCACAGTGGAGCTGGGGAGAATAGAGCAGGATGAGCACCTCCTGCCACGGCCTCCCTCCTCCACAGCTGGAGCATACCGATCTCCACGGTGGCCGTCCCACAGGACTTCCTCAAGCCGACGTCCAGAATCGGGCACTCGGCGGCCCGCCAGCCCTGGGGTGCTGTGGTCAGCCGTGCATCGGGGTTACAGCCAAGGGTCCCCATGGCGAGCAGGTGAGGGGCTGTAAGGGGCACAGGGGCCAGGCAGGGGCCACGCAGGCTGCCGTCTCGGCCGCAGCCACAGCTCCCGGCCACAGCTCCCAGCACTGTCCTCGGGCCTGGTGGCTTGTGCTGGTGTTGGCAGAGCCCTGGCCTCAGCCCCCGCCCCCCATGGACCGCACAGACAGTCCCTTGTCTGTCAGCAGAAAGTCTTGGGGCCCTGGCCCTAGTGGGCTGGTCAGCGGACGTTGGCCTGGAAGTGCGGCCAGGATCGAGTGTCGGCCTGGTGGCTGGATGGTCCAGGAAACAATCTGATGTCAGCAGAGCGGGTCCCCAGGGAGCCATCAACCTGGGCAGCTGGGGCCAGAGAAGGCTCCAGGGAGCCAAAGCCATAAACAGAACACCTGCAGCCTTGCAGCAGAAGGGACTGATGAGGTCTTGGAAAGTGTGGCCCCATTTCTGCAGCTGGGGAAACCGAGGCAGAGCGCAAGGTCATATGGTGAGATTGCCGCTGTATGGGAGCTGCAACTTCAGGCCAAGGAGCTGGCCTACCTGCCCGCCTGCCTCCCTCCCCTCCTTCATTCCTTCATCCAGTCAGCATTCACTGAGCACCAGCTGAGTACGAGGTTCTGTCTGGGCTGGGGGGACACAAAGGAGTAGACAGAAAGGAGCTGATGTTCTCAGGAGGGAACAAAGGAAATAAACAAGAAAGAATTAAGAAATGAGCACACAGTATATGAGAAGGTGTTAAATGTGCTAGAAAACACCAACCAGGTAGGAGCCCACAAAGGCAGCATAGGTGCAGGCCAAGTGTTGGGGCAGGACGACAGGTCTTTGAATTGAGAAGGTAAAAGAAGAGCATGTCATAACGGAATGGCCATGCAAAGGCCCCGGGGCAGAAGCAACAATGGCAAGGAGGCAATGGCGGTCCTCTCAGGACGACGCACTGCCTCGCAGAAGCCAACAGAGATTTACTCCCCAAATAGAGTTTATTTCCCTGCCTCCACTAAAGGCAACCACTGTGTCAGGCTCTAAGAAGGGGCTCAGGAACCTGACAGAGCAGAATTCAAACTCCTGTGTCTTCCATGCGTGTTATCAGGCCATTTTGCACTCTGACTTTCAACAGCTTTATTGAACTATAACTTACATATGATGCAGGACACTCCTCAATGTAATTTTAGTACAACTTATAATTTAACTTTTTAATCAAAGTGTTAAGGAGTTCATAATGAGCCTGAAATGTTTATATTAGAAAAGAAGGGGGGCGCCTGGGTGGCTCAGTGGGTTAAAGCCGCTGCCTTCGGCTCGGGTCATGATCTTGGGGTCCTGGGATCGAGCCCCGCATCGGGCTCTCTGCTCGGCGGGGAGCCAGCTTCTCCCTCGTTCTCTGCCTACCTGTGATCTCTCTCTCTCTGTCAAATAAATAAATAAAATATTTTTTAAAAAAAGAAAGAAAAGAAGGGGGGAAAAAAGATCTTAACACCTGTGACCTCAGGTGCCACCTTAAGAGGCTAGAAAAGGAGGAATACGTGGAAGGAAGGAAATTAAAGACATAAGAGTAGAAATGCCTGAAATGGAAAACTGTAGAAAGAATCAACAAAGCCCCTCCCCCCAAAACCTGGTTCTTTAAAAAGATCAACAAATTTAATCAAGCTCAAGCTAGAATGACCAAAGCCCAATGAAAAAGAACACAAATGACCAATATCAAGACTGGAAAAGAGACATTGGTACAGACTCACATGCCTTAAAGGGACAGTAGGGTCTCTGTGAAGCCACCAACGGGAAAACTCCCATCCTTTTCGGGCTCAGACACTTCACGGGCACCACGCTGGTTAATTATCTCAGGATCCCACTGAGGGAAATGCTGTTGCTAACCCTCATCTGTGGTCACTGCCGGGAAATGGAGGCTCCGGGAGGGGAGGAGACATGTGCAGGTTCCTGAGTAACTTAGCAGCAGAGCCAAGAATTGAGTCCGGGGCATTCTGACTCAGATTTTCATTCAAAGGTTAGGGTCAAGGGCTTCTCCCAGACTCTAATCCCAGCTCAGCTTTCCAGGAGGGCTGAAAACCCACTGTGGACTCCTGCAGCCGCAAGGATAAAACCCAAGCCCTCACTGGCCCCTAAGGTCCTGCCAGGCACAGAGTCGCCCTTCTTCCCCTCCGCCCTCGCCTCCAATCCTTCAGTCCTCGCTCACTCGACTCTCGACTCTCGTCACAGTAGCACTCCCGTTTCTTGAAGGCACTCCTGCCGGGTCCCACCTCAGGGTGCCTGCTTGATTTCCCTCCACCTGGGACAACTTGATACCTCCATTCTCAGACACCTGTGGGCCCCCCAAATTGGACAAGCCGTTTGCTTCTTTCCAGAAGCAGCACAGACTCCAGCACTGTGAACAGAACTAGGCATTGACGAGGGAGACAGGAGGCCAATACCCCAACCTCCTCCTCCCCCTGCCAACCAGTCTGTCCCACCGACCAAAACTGGCCAGCAGGGCAGGAGCCCAGGGATGCCGCCACTGAGACCAGCCTCAAGGACTCAGGACCAGGGTCCTGGCTGGAGGATGATCCTTCATCCAGGTTCCAGCTGGGATGCGGCCCTGACTGCCTCGGTTTCCGCACTGCGACACGGAAAATAGCCAAGGGCTAATGCAGGGTGGGGACAGACAGGAATGACTGCCTGAGCCTGAAGGGGAGGTTTGGAGACCTCAAGGTCCAGCAGTATCACCAGACTGAGTTTAGCCGCAGAAACCTCCCCAGCCCGGCCCCCAGCCGATCACACCAGCTTCTCTCCATCCGCTCACTTCTGGCTCCTCACCACGGCCAACTAAAGACATGTAAATGAGAAGCCAGTTGTAGGCCCATGCAAATGAGCCATGTTTTTAATCCAGTCTGATTCACGGACAGAAGAGAGCAACTTGAGCAAAGTAGAACAAGGAGGGCTGGACTGGGGATAGGGCGCAAGCGCCCTCCCTCAGCCATATGATCCGGCCTTGGGGGGCTCCGGGGCTCCGGGCCTCAGTCCCCCCGAGGAGGCTGCGGGACGGAGTTCACAGCATCGATGCTCATAATTATCAATCCGACCGTGTTTATGTGTGTGCCCACTGTGCACCAGGCACGGTTCAGGTGCTGGGAGAACAGGTGGGAACAAAACACATCAAGTCCCTTCCTCACCCTTTTGTTGAGAGAGGCAAAGGGGTGAGTGCGTTTTACATTACTTTAGAAGTCAAAGTCCTGTCGTGGGAAAAAATCGAGGCCAGGGAGGGCTTGGAGGTGTGGGGAGTTTGCAGTTTGAAGTGGAGTGGTCAGGGGAAGCCTCACGGAGAAGGTGATGTTCAAGAGAGGCCTGAAGGAGGTGAGGAGGGAGCCAGGGGATAGTCTGGGGAGAAGGCACAGCAGGTGCAAAGGCCCTGAGCCTCAAGAGCACCTAGCATTCCCAAGGTTGGGGAAAGAGAAGGAGCAGGTCGTGTAGGGTCCCCGGAGAGGACGGGGGCTTTTACCCAGAGGCACCGGGAGCCCTGGAGGGCTGGGGGCAGGTCAGAAGCCGGCCGGCCTCGGTGCTCACCGGCGCCCTCTGGCGGCAGCGGGGGGAGAACGGATCGTGGGTGGCGCCGGGAGACAAGGAGCTAGGAGACTGCCCTGGTCAGGGAGGGGTGGGGGAGATGGGGAGGAGATGGGGGAGGTGGGGGGGGAGATAGCGGGGAGATGGAGAGGAGATGGGGGAGAAGGGTTGGGAGGGGAGATGCGGGATGGGGTGGGGTGATGGAGTAGGGGAAGAGATGGGGAGACGGGGGTGGTGGAGGTTGGGGGAGAGGTGGGAGAGGAGATGGACTTAGGGGAAGATGAGGGAGAAGTGGTGGGAAATGGTGGCGAGAAGTGGTGGGAAATGGTGGCGAGAAGGGGGAGAACTGTGGGCTCCACCAGCTGGTGGTGGAGGAGGAGAAAACAAGCAGGTGGATCCCAGATCTATCTGAAAACGAAAACCAGGTTTGGGAGCCACATCTGATGTGGTTCCTCCAGGATTTGGGCTTGAGAACAGGACGGGATGGGGCTGCCTGTGACCAGGAGGGAGAAATGCAGGTGTTGGGAGAAGATCCAGAGCTCAGTTTTGGAGTGGTGGGATGTAGACTTTCTGGGGGACCGCTAGCTCTGCCAGTCCAGGTTGTTCTCTCTGCCACACACGCCAAGGACCCCAAACACAGTGGCTTAAAAACACCCACATGTCTTGTGTCACAGTCTCGGAGGATGACAGAGCCAGGTCCTCCGCTTGGGCTGCTCTGCTGGTGTTGGCCGAGCTGGGCGCTGACCCGGGAGGCTCCAGCGGGGAGTGGTCCACTTCCCAGCTCCCTCGGGGTGTTGCAGGATTTGTTTCCTTGGCTTGGAGGACTGGGAGCCCCCTTCCCAATGGCGTCTGGCCAGGTGGCCTCCTAACATGGATGCTTGGATTTTCAAGGCCAGCCTGGGGAAAGGTATCAGCAATATGCAGGATGGGCTGGTATTTTCTGTAACAGCAATAAGCGATGGGTGTCCCGGCCACGGGCCCTGGTCCTTCCCACTCTCCGCTAATTTCATCTCTTCCTGAATCACGGCCCCCAGATTCCCTCATCTCCCTTCCTCCTCGGCAACCCATTTTCTGCACAAGAACCAAATGATCTTTTGAAACCAAAACATTCCCTGGGCTCTCCCTGTGCCACGAGCAAATCCAGACTTCTAACCTGGCCTGTCTGGCTATGAGGGCAGGAACTGTACATATTGGGCACCTACTATGTACCAGCCTCTGTGCAGGGGTGACCGACACTGCCCACAAGACCCAGAATGCAAACCACATGTGCAACCCTGAATCTTCTAGTAGCCATGTCACAAAAGAGAAACAAGATAAACCAATTTTAATGATACATTTAACTCAACAGAAGCAAAACGGTACCACTTCCACATACAAACACTGTGGTTGACATATTACATTCTTTCCTTGATGCCAAGGCTTCGAAATCTAGTGTGCGTCTCGCACTCGGA